CACGAATTAAGCGAATGACGAGATGGCGCACAAGCTGCCTGTGTACCGACCGTGAACCAGTACATGTTAATGACAGCTTCACGTTGTTTGAACATTGTTCACGGCAGGTGAGCAAAGAACACCATTTCCGTCTTGTCGAGGGTTCAAAGAGGGTAGAGGCTTTGCACTACACGTTCTAGAGGGGCAGTGTCTCTCGCACTGCTGCTTTCTAGCCACCTCATTAAGCTGCAGAATATTTTTTCTCGTTTTTTTCCTTTTGCGAACCTCATCGCTTTCACGAGACGGTTATTCTAAGCTTCGCTTTAAGAACTGACATGAATGAAGAGTGGAGTGGCTTTATTCACGTAGTTTTCGAACCATGTCTGTGAGTTTTCGTTGTTTACTCACCAGTGCTGTGATAATTTCGGCATAGATGTTCAATCCCATGGAACGTATTCAGGTTTTGATCAAAACTTCCCAGAGGATTAGCAAGGGGCACTGGGTTGCAGTATCCCAACACACCTCGTCTTCAGCTAAGCACATATCTATTTCCGTCGCTGCAGGTGTGTACCACTATTTTGCCACTGCAGTTCATCAAAAACGGGTTTAAAAAAAACGCGCTCTATGTGTTTTGTTTTGTTCACGAGTAGCTGAAATTTGGGGAAGAATAAAAATGAACCTAAAAAAGCAAAGTGACGTGCGGTCACTGCATGATGGCGACCGAACTAAAGGTCTTGAACAAGCACAGGAAAAAAATCAATTTCCGCCGGCTTCATGGTGGTCGCTCTCCAACCATTTCTCAGTAGCACAAATGAAGCTGCACGACTCATCGCACACTGTTACAGTAAAAGTGCCTTAGAAGCAACTTGTTGCAGTGCCATATGGACAAAACAAGGCACACAAGCAGCGTTTCACCTTCTTTGGTCGAGTGTGCTCTTCAGCCAGATATTTGCAATCACGAACTGACAACTGGCAGTGCTCGTTGACTACATAAATTTACTACCGATATATTAAAGCAGTTAGCGTTTTGAAAAACAATCTTTGTGGGTACGCGTCGCACCTGTAGTAGTGACTACAAACTTTTTTCGTTATTGAAGTAGAATTAATTATTTATAGCGTAGCGAAGTGTTGGAACTTCGTATTACGTTGTGATCTGTATCACCTGTGGGCCTACCTTTTTCGGCTCCTTTCTGACAGAAAGCCAATCGCGCTGGCAGTCCGCGCTCTGCCTTGACTGTTGCCATTGCGCATCGTTGCCGAGAGCCGTCGAATAAACACATTTACAGCAGTTGTGCGTTTATGTCAATAAGTCCTCGCATAATAATGAAGCAGTCGCTGAGGCGTACGTAGGCATGTTGAAGTGACCTCGTACTGCGATGTATTTAACAAGGCACGAATCGCGCACAAACTTCCTTTTTGGGTTGATAAGGAAAACCCGCGAAACGTGAGAAGTAACGTGTCACCACACTTTCACGAGCAAAAGAAAGCAGCGCCTTCAAATAAGCTGACGCTTTGCTGGCGTTCGCTGCCAGAGACAGCATCGCTCACATTGGCAAAAGTTACAGGAGGAGCCCCACCATCACGCATCGCAATTTAGCAGGGATTCCTTCCGCTCGATTGCACGCCACTATATCATACCCAGAGCCAACAGCCGACTGTTCTCATAACGCGGCCTTAGCGCTGTGTAGTTCCCGACTCTACTCTGTATCTACTCTGTAATACCAAAGCGACGCAACTCTTTGGTTGGCGAGTGCCTGGTAGGTCGATTCCCTCCCCCCCCCCATTTTGTTTTTGTGAGTTTCCACCTTGATTTTTGCTACCCACAGAACTGCTGCTGTACTTATTATACATCTGAATGGGCACCTCACACCAAATACTGAAACCTAGAGATGTATGTGTTGGTTGATTGTTTCCTCCATGCATGGGCACTTCTGACCGATTATTAGTGGCGATCATTGTATTTAGAATAATATATATTGGTTTTAAACAAGCGTCAGTGCTCATCCTAATTTGCAGCACCTCGAGACGTCGCCATTCGTATTACATTGATAGGAGCCCTGTGTGATGTTTGACGAGTAAAACTAGTGTTGCAGTCATCACAGAAGATTCGCTTGGCACGCACACAACCGCAGCTTACACCTGGCTTGTGCTATTGTTCCTTGGCCATCTTGCGTTGCTGTCACGCGGCTCGAAAATTTCGTATAGCTGCTTATGAGATAAATGATTTACATTGGGAGAAAGCCTAAACTCACGCTGAAGCTCCCTCATCACTCTTGAGGAACATCAGACTTTGCGAGTGGTTGTGAATGAGTAGCGCGAGATCGTGTTGTGTAGTTTCTAGCTGTCTGTTTAACGATCACTTGCTCTCTCTTCTTTTTTGTCCATCCTCTTTTTTGTATTCCCCCTTTCCGTCACCCCAGGTGTAGGTTAGCAAACCGAGCCAAAGCTTGCTTAACCTTTAGTTACGATTCAATCTCGGGATACCAGACAGAAAACTCAAGTTTACAGTAATGTCGCGAACAAAAATTTCGCGAGTCCTTCAACAAGCGCAAAGCAATTATCACACAATGAAGAGATACGCTCGCGCCCGTCCTGTTCATACGAGTTTATTCCTTCGTGAGGAGTATTGATTTGGGCTTGTTAAGGTGTGCAGGTTCAGTCAATACCGGCAAATAGGCCGAATTGCGGCACTGAGCGCCCTGCTTCCTGATACGCGCTGCAGTTTAGTCACGTGTCATTTTTTTTTACGTTTTGTAGGCTCCTTCATAAGCTGCATGAAATGAACACGCTAATAATACATCGTTCCCAATAGTAGAGGACGATATATTACTTGAACATGCTCGGCATATGCCTCATTGACATCTTGATAATTAGGTCAGTGCTTGTAGAGTTAGCGATATAAGTATTACTTATTCTTATTAAGTGAATTGTATCCGAAAGAGTTAATATTTGCCCCTCCAGAGTCTACTGGGAACAGTACTAGCTTTGCTTCGCCTAACGCCGTTCTTTTTCTAAGTGCGGACAACTTTTGGGGACCCGGCTGGCGCACGCTGTCGTGTGCTTGGCGTAACGCAGGCAAGGCCACGTATAAAACTATAAAATAAGAGAAACAAGCGAGAATTATAAATAGAAAGAAAGAAAAAGTAAAAAAAAGCAAGACAAGTAGAACCAAGTAGAAATACTGAAAAAAACTGAAAAAGAGAAAAAGAAATAAACAGGGGAGGAGAGAAACAGAAAAAAACCAAATAGAAACAATGAAGACTCCCGGTTCTGCACTTTCTTGGGGCTTACCCATCTGCCATTCTGCCCACCTCTCCTCCGTTTTTTTTTATTTCTTTTTTTCTTTCATTTATTTGCTTTCTTTTTTGTTTGCCTTTTGTTTACTGCCATTCTTGTTTAATAATCACTCCTCACGCTTTGATTTTGTTGACAAGGCCGGCTATTCTTTCACACCCTTCCCCGACGTTTGTTTTCGCACTTGCCCTTTCCTCCACGTTTGTTTGGAGTTAGGACCGAGGGTACAAGACATGCACGCGTTAAGCTAGTAGACGGCGGTGGCACAGCCTTGAAGAAAATCAGTTCGCTTGTCGAAACGTGGGCTCCAATGGCATCCAGTGTTTAATAACTTCCCACCTCTTCAAGTTTTCATTTCCTCTCTCAACTTCTGCCTCTTTTGGAGCCCCGAAACCCACTCGCAGTCCAAAATAAGGCGCGGGGGGCTGAAAACTCTAGGAAACGGCGTTTAGAATCCGCACCAATGTGCGTAAAAACTTCTCATAAATCCCGTGTAGAGTACTCAAATCGGACTTTTGATCATTCGAAGAACCGACGCTATCAGCCCAATGGGTTTGTAAAAACCATTTTAAGGCCCTTTTAAACAAAGGTATTTTAAATCGAAGACATCTACTTTCATTTTTTTTTCTTGGGGTGAGGGGTAGCAGAATGAGTTGCGAAGCGCGAAATAAGCATCATTGCGTGTGATTCGTCTAGCAGAAACAAAAAATAAAAATGACAAGACCTGCGGGTTCAACGCGTTTCTCTTAAGCCCTATGTACAAATGTTCATTTACATGGAGATCCACGTAGTATAGGATAAGGATGTATATGAAATGGCTACACGGGTCAAATTTCGCTATATGAAGATTTTTGTTGCATAAAATATCACGCAGTATTGTCAATAGGTGTGTTACTTTCACCAATAGAAATGCTTGATCAGGCGTGGTGATGCAGATCCCGTGCGAACTGCCTAATCAACTGCCTGGAAAACTTTGCTGGGCAGCTCCGCTCACACGCAGGCCATCGAAGGGATAAATTTATACAGATGCAGTATCGCGGAGCTAGAAAGAAACCGATTGTTTCCAAAGTGAGCTTCATGAAGTGAACAAACACCTTCGCGAAGAAAAAGGAGCACCAACAACATGAAAAATATTTCTTCATTTGCACAGCTAGTTTTGAAGAAACCCCCTGCCGAATGATGTCCTTCGTCCTTCTTCTCTATACTTAATGAAAGACAAGACTTTCTTCTTTTTTTTAAGTTCCTCCACTTCACGCGCTTCTCTGAAAATAACTAGCCACTATCGCTTCTCACTATGTGCCTTAGCTATAGCCTTAGCGTAGTGACCATCTTGCTCTTCCGCAAGGTTATCTAACTAGAATGAATACCAATAGCCGCAAGATGGTGGCGATCTGTGAAATTTTGTTCATCTCAAGTGATATCTGACCGACGCGGGCGGCCTCATCATTATTCGCTAAGCGGAAGTTATGGCGCACGCAGTTTTTGAAGAACGATTTTCCCCGAGCAAAACACACAAATATGACACATGAGCAATGCACCGCCAGCGTAAACGGGCACATTTCGCCACTGGTGCGTCTGAGCAGGCGGGAGGAACAAAGACGTTGTGTCCAGCACAATGTACTCCCTCTCAGTCGTTGTCTGGTTGCGCACGCAGACTTGTCCACTCCTAAAAGTCACCTTGGCCTGGTGGCGCTGAATGGCCCTGCACGCTCTAACTAGAAGTCCAGCTACGTCGAAGCCACCAACACAACCAGGAACAACAAGGCCACCCACCGGAAGTCTTCGTTCTGTATGCTGCCGTTAGCTGCACAGAGTGAAACAGGGACGGTATGTGTAACCAGCTTGACGTCATGTGCGATTGTTGCGTTCGTGCATCTGGACGTAGAACCGAGGTCTGGAGATTGCTCAACTGCGGTGTTGATTTAGTTCCTTGCTGTAAAGAAGGCTACCGTCTTTTACAGCTGCTTTTGTACCGCTTAGAGCTATAAATTATAAGGGAAGTTGCGCATACAGGGTAGCCAGCCGGTTTGAGAACTGGCTATAACCTTTGTCCTTCCTGCTTCCTCCCTCTGCCTTCGCACATACCCTCAATAAATTATGCTGCACCTTAATATATACACGTACAAGAAAATTGGGCTTGCACTTCTATAGGTAGCAAAATATGGAGTGAAAGCATGCGTCGAAGCAACCTTTTTTTTTTAACTCATCTATTAGCATGCTGATATTCTACCATAGAACTAGAATGCCTTTTCCGCTGCTCTTTTGACGCATCGACATAACTCACTTGGTATAGACCTCATTTTCTCAGTAGAGTTCTTCGTGTGGAAGAGGGTGCGACGTAAAAATTTTTACTCAGCAAAAAGTGCCACTCACCCCTTGCGAAGTAGACCTGCAGGCCCGAGCTGTGGCGCTTGTCGCTGACCGGCACGCGCAGCTCGCTGGCAGCCGTGAACTCTCGGAGCTGCCGCGAGACGCACTTGAGCCGCAACTCGCCTTTGTTGAAGTGTTGCTCAGCCAGCCGGAAATTGAGGCGCAGCGTGGCAGCACCATGGCCGTTCGAGGTGGGAGACACGTACGAATCCGGAGCCTGTAGGGAATCCGAACAGACCGGCCAACTCCGGGGATTTTTTCGAGGTTAGTGGATCTCGTTAAATTTCACTCGGTAAGTCAACTTGCACGTTTCCGTCATTTTATCAAATTAATGACTTGAAAAATACGCAGACTGATTAACGAAATTGCACTGTCTCCCGCTGAAGGAACCATGTGCAGATGCAAAGCAGCAGGCGCTAATGCTTGCACTGGCGGCGGCGTTGGCGCTGGCGCTCATAGTGGCGTTGCGCAGCAGAGAAGCCTGAGGAGGCGCTAAGCACTCTGTGATAGACCGGTGTTTCCCACTACAACGTGCCAATCGTTGCTAACTGGCAATGAGAGACGGAAGACTCCGATTGGGCACAGAGACACCCAGCCGGCTTTTAGGTAACGCGCACGCTGTGAATTTTTATTGTTCAACAACTCGTGGGAAAAATGTCCCACGGCACTGCATTGTATATCGGTGAAAGCTTAAGAATAAATATGAAGGACATTGTAGGCGTTGCGAGCCGAGAGATGGGGAGAGAAAGTACATGCGCAATGGCAGCGATGGGGATGTAAATGCCGCGGGTACGGATGCCGAGAGAAAAGAGAGAGGGGAGTGAGCGTACGCTAGGAGACATTGTCTGCATCGCCGTTGTGAAGCAAGAAATGGAGGAGGAGCGTAGGAAAGGAGAGGGGAGAGGGAATGCGCATTAATGGTGGTCACGCCGCACGCACACTAGAACCAACACGGCCATAAGATACTTCACAGCTAATAAATTTTATTCTTTTTATTTGTGGTGTCCCGCGATTAGTGGCCACGTCTTGCGTGCTTCGACACGCATGGCAAAATGGCGGAAGTGACATAACCGACGTGCTGCTACAGCGTCCGCTGTTTACAAGGCATCGATCAATGCACCTCTCTTGTGTCACAAACACGCTTGCCAACTTCCAACGTCTTTCGTGCCCATGTTCGTCGTTTCGTGTCTTCGCTCCGTCCCCTATTTCATATTTTCCTATTTACTGTTACAAATTTTTCTAAAGTTGTTTGCACTGGATCTCATTCACATGATCAAGTAGGTAACAGAAAAATCTGCTCAGTGTGACAAACCTACAAGCCTCCTTTTACGTCACCCGCGAGTACATCAAACATATGCCGATGCCATAGCTAACATCTACACCGACTACAGAGCTAGCCTTCTTCTTCATGCGAAGAGCAACAAAATTACAATCTAGAATGGTGTCAGTAAAAAAAAAAGGTTGTTCCCACATCTCGTGGGGATTGGTCTGATGCGAAGCAGTGAACAAGTAGTTCTATACTGCATTTTTTTTTCGGTTTTGTGACAAGCGTTACGATGTGGATCGATGGCCTTCTTGTAAACAAGGGAGTTGTGTGCACATTTCCGGCTTACCATGCACGCCGACTATACTATCGTTTAAATGGTTACTCAAAATTAATCTGACGTAGTATCAGCACTTTCGAAGCTATCGTACGCTACGGTACGATGATTTGAACGAAATGATAACTTGGCGCTCACAGGGACCGCATCTGCGACCTTCGAATAACACATCCGATGCTTTACCAACTAACTGAGCTTCAGCGGCGGTCATCTCCCCTTACATTTTATGATGCATGTATGCATACTTAAACGTGGCAGTGTTAGTCGGTGCCACTAGTAAACATGTCGGCAAGTGTGGAAAACTCTTTGTGTGCCTGCTGGCGTCCCGAAACACGTGATCTTTTCACGAGCTGGCGATTGACAAATAATCCCACGAATACTAATTCCCTTTTTATCCTGCATTACGTGAAGGAAAACAACCGGTTAAGTTTTAAACAAGATTTTTTTTCATCCGCTCAACAAAATTGAAGGATTGTGAATTTGAGCAGTTACTTTCAGATTATGCGAAGTGTTCTCTGAAGATTATCTGACGTGTTGCTTTCAGATTATGCCAGGAGTACCAGTTGTGCCTCCCTGCATCACAAAGCAAAGTATAATGTTTCGATCAACATCGAATTTGATCCAAACCTAAATTATTGCATCTATAGTACGTGGAGCATTATAATATATGCAGAACAAAACATTTTTTAAAGAACTAACCAACCGCAAACACGGCTACCTGAATGTCACAATGACATTCACAAAAACTGTTTTTCCATCATATATATATATTGCACGCTGGAATAAACTATCTTCATCTGCAGTAAACTGTGCAGCGAGAGAATTCTTCGTTCTAGAAATCAGAAATACGGACTTTTTCAAAGTATTGCATTAGGTGATGAATAAACTATTACCGTACAAAGCAATGAGTAGGGCTACATGGTTTATTAAAGGTGTTATTTCTTCTTACTGTTTTATTGGATTCATGTGTTTGCGAATGTGAGCTGAACATTGTACCTTTGAGAATGCTTACACAATACTGAGAGCAGCATCTCTTTTTTTATTGTTATCGTATAGTACAGTATGCATTTTAGCTACAATCCAGACATTCTGCATGATAGTCGTGTACTTTACCACAGAATCACGACATTGCTTCAAACTGCTTCGGAAAAACATCCTATTTATGCGTTATGCTGAGACCACAGCAGTTGCCATGTTCGCTATCCGTTTTTAAATAAATGTAAGGAGCATTAGATATATGCACCTATGACTATGTAAAATGCAGTATAGCGTTGCACAAGTACGCTTGAGACCGTTACTCATGAAGTTATGATATTCACATCATCGAAATATCGTGTGCACTTCGGGGTGATAAAGCTTACGTGTCTGATATAACCAGAATGCCGGCGTCAGGTCGGACACTGAGCTACCTTTCTGCCCACCCGTATACTCGGATGGCCTGTTAAGCCTGCAAAACAACTCCTACTACGCAAACACGTCAATCTTCCTCGTAAAGCTTTGCTCAGAACAAAGGGTACCACTTAGGCTGCTTTTTGCGGACAGCTTCGCACGAATAAACTACTATGCGTGGGATCTAGCTAAGTTGTTTACTAAATGGTAATATCAAACAAAAGATAATACGTAAGCTCACATTTTTTTACCGCAAGTGATCTGATACACCGTACACTAAAAAAAAAAGAAGGGTCATAGGCGTGCACACCGGGGGAGAGTGGGTGGAGAGGAAGGCCGCGCACCCAAGCCACCTAAACGTTGGTGCGAAAAGTGCTTCATACATTGCCTTAATAGAAAGGGGGGCGCTGCTACGAACCTTCACCCCCTCCCTCTCCTCCTTTAGAGGGTAGCTTTGCGCTCGCCTGTGGACCTTTTCACTTTCCTCTCTTTTAACAGATGCGTACACTCTCCTTGAGGGGTAATTATACTGTCTTCCGAGAGTCGTGTGAACAACAGCAGAGTTAGCGTGTCTTTTTCAAGAAGCTCACATACGTGGCATGTCGAGACTACTCGAAAGTAAGTTCATTGTTTTTAGGGGCGAAGCTCCTTACAGCGACAACCGTTCGTCCCTCGTAGCCGTTGTAGTGTGTAACAAGTATAACATTTTGACCTCCAAGGTGGTGCCGGTGAGAGATTTCTTCCGTGCGTTAATGAACAATAAAAGGTAGTGCTCAATGTACATGCCAATGGCTGCTAATGGGGAATGAGAGACAGGAGCATTCGGCTTTTAGTTAACGCGCACGCTGCGATCCCCATTAGCAGCCATTGGCAAGTACATTGAGCACTATCTGACAAGAAAGGGTTGCTACGTTACACTCGCTGGGTGTAACCTCCTTAGTTTTAGAAAGGTTTAGAAAGCGTTGAGCCGCAGTGCCATGAATACAACGAACTAGTATATGCCATGAACTCGAGGTTTCAGTTTCAGTTTCAGTTTATTGAGCGTAATTGGGTGGGGAGTTACATAAAGGGAGAGGTATACAGAAAGAGGTCCCTTAGTGTAAACACTGCAACGGGACCTCTTGTTATAAAATACACAAAGAAAAAGTAAAAACATGAGCAGGATCGCGTAGAAGAAGCATGAATATGCGTACAAAATAATAAAAAAGGCATTATGGTATGCAATAACATAAAGAATATTTGACATTGAAGTACACAGAAAAGGGAATTTAAAAAGTGAAGCTAATACAGTGCAAACAAAGCAATCGCTAGGAATAACACTAACAAATATTTCAGAAAAAATTAATAGAATTGGATAAAAAACATGAAAATTTATGAAAAAAAAGGCAACGACAGGAACTACACATAAGTCAGGAGTTTAAAGAAGGCTTCAGAAAAAGGCGAACTAAATGTTTAAATGCATTTAACGAGGGAGAGGTTTTAGTCTCTAAAGGCAGAGTGTTCCATATCTTGATGGCGGCGAAGCTCACTGTTTTTAGTTCGTAATTAGTGCGCACCTTGGGCAATAAGATATTGTTTTGAGAGGAGAAACGTGTAGTACTTGAGGAAGTGGTAATTTTATTGCCTACAATACGTAAAAGATCCGGATTATGTACCAGGCGGTAGGCAATTACAGCTGAGTTAAAGGCGATCATATTTGCAATAGGAAGAATATTTAGTGAAGAAAATAGTGGAGCTGAATGGGCGTGATAATCACTGCGCGTTATTATGCGGACAGCCTGTTTTTGAATATGAGCTAATGGGCTTACATAAGTTTTATATGTCAGTCCCCAAGATTCAATACAGTAGTTGAAATGACTATGAAGGAAGGCAAAATAGAGAGCAGATAGTGTAGGAAGTGGAAAAATTGGCGTGCCCTGAGCAGAACACGAATACCATAGGCGGTTTTTCTTTTTATTAACCCAATATGATGATTGAAGTTCAGAAAACAATCAAGTTGTACACCGAGAAATGTGCATTTTTCAGAAGGAAATATTTCATGGTTATTAACATACACCGGGAGTCCGTTATCTCACTTTTTTGACCTAGAACTGAAAATAACAAATTTTCTTTTATAGGGATTAATGACAAGCTTGTTGTTAAGACACCAATTAATGACGCTCTGAAGATCGCTGTTTAGCTGGGAGGTTATGGCAGGAATGGAGTCGTGAGCGCTAAATATGGTGGT